AAAAAATTTTACATTTTCATAATAAAATAAGTCAAAATTTCAGCATCATCCGATTTCAGCATCATCCCCGACAAAAATTAATGTATCAAGGGTAATCGATATTAATCGTATTGGTTTAGATAAAATAACTTACCGTTAAAGAGATATATAAATTTAAAACTTTTTTTCATGTAATGCAAAATGTTTGATCACTACCGTATGCTTATAATACATTCACGTTCTTTAGTTCGTGTTCGGTATAGGTAGAGTTGACTGTATAAACAAACATACACTGTTTCCAATTCTCCGGAAGCAAACCCTGATTTCCAAATGTACCCTTGGAATGATTTAAGAGCACCAATTTTTCTGTCGAATGACATTTGCCATTCAATATTTTGAATTATAGATTTTTTTACTTCATCGATGTTACTAATAAAAAGAAATGGTAACATTAATTCTTTATAGAACTGAAATGCTTTCCAATCATTTAAGGATTTTTCTTACTCGGCCGTTTCTTCAGGAATTAAATTGGCTCCAACTAATCCTTCGTTCACATCTTTCGTTGCCTGTAAAGAGAATCATGTTAATTTAAAAGTAAATTATAAGCAAGACTTGTTTGACATCAAATTTATTTTTTGTATTTCTCAAGTTTATCTGTATATTGCTTACCTGCTCACGTAGCAGTTGTATATTTTCTTTCATTTCTTTGTCTGACCAATTCTCATCCAAAAATTTTACTAAATTTTTTTTAACATATGGAAACTTTAATTATATTAAAAAAGTCTCGAATGTAATTAATATTTGCTAGACAATTAACTCCTTCAAGGAACATTTTCTTTTAAAACAGTCTTTTTTAAATAGTGTTTTGTCCAAACTTACAAAATCTTAAAATAACGGGAGGAAATTAACAGAAATCAATCAAATTAAAATTTTCACTTTACAGAATAATTCGTAAAAAAAACATTCAATTTGCTTAGTTTTTAATTTCACTCCATTTTATCGAAGCACCTTAGAAAGAGTTGGGTTATATAAATAAATATAAATAAATTCAATGATTACCAATGTTTCATGAACAAATGAGATTGGTGTAGTGGTTCCCTCGATATCTAATAAGGCAACTTTGTAAGAAGGCTTCATTTTGTTCTTTAAGATTCACGAAAACAGTTGAACATTTTATCACCGCCTTTTTTTTTGTTATAAATACGTAACCAAGATAATCAGTGACATATCTATCTGATTTATCTGATTGGAAGATCCAGGTCGGAATTGTTATCGGTTGAGTCGAAATTAACAAAATTTTTACTGATGAAGTCATTGCTCATTCTGCGAAAAATTCTATAGATGTAGTTAGTATTGGCCAGATCCGATGAATTCTACCCAAAATCTGAAAGGTCAATTTATGTCAATTAACTAATAGCACGATTGTTTATCGCATTTTATACGTGTCGCAGAATTTAAATAAAAATACTGTATCCTGGCCAAAGATATTTAGAGTCGACCAATACTAGAATTGATTAAAAAACAATTTTGATTTTTAACAAAAGTTTTTAATAATTTTTAAAATAAGCTGTACGTTATTCAAATCTTAAACTTGATTTAATTTTAATTTTTTGTTCTAGATTTTGTATTATATAAATGAAGAATACTAAAGCATACCAATGGTATATATGAAAATTTAGAGTTAGGGTATTGTTATAAGATATAAAGGTTCAAATTTAATTAGCATAAAGTTTTTAGGGATTCTGAACAATTCTTAAGATACACCACTGGTGTGGCCGCCCAAAAATTATTATTTGGACATTCGGATAAAGGAGATTTATTAAAGGTATGCTTAATTATCAAGTGCTAATAACAGTCATGTAATCTGGAAACTTCTAATATTCGAATATTTATTAGCATTTTTCAGGTTATTTTGATACAACAATTGGTTCTAAACTTGAAACGGATAGTTACCTAAACATTGCTAAACATATCGGGGTAGAACCGAAAGATATTTTATTTCTGAGCGATAATGTGAAAGGTAAATTTAACTATTAGTCTTTTATTTTATTTGTCTACTATTATTATTATTATCTTTTTTTGTATATTCCATTATATTTAAGTCTTTGTTAATAACTCACCTAGAGATAAATGCAGCAAAAAATGCAGAATTTCAAACAGCAATTATTGATCGTCCAAATAATGCACCTTTATCTGCTGATGATCGAAAGGATAATGTTGTATTTACCAATTTTCTTCAAATCTTCACACATAATTCGTATATTGAACCTCTCAGTTGAGAAATGAAAGATATTTTTGGAAAAAAGATTCTTTCAAAATAAATGCTAAATCATGAATATTGTTAATTATCTACCTTGCAACTTTATTGGCACATTGTGAACGATAATAAATACCCTTCACATATAAATACTAAGTTTGATTGCATTCTAATTGAATATATAGATATGTGACTATATATGAGTGACGCCAAAGGGACACCAAACTTTGGACTTTTATTATTTATTGTATTTAGCCCTGATGGCGCACACGACACATAATATATAGTTATTGAATGCATAGCAGACAATATTTGATAAGCGTGACAATTATATCGTAGATCACGATATCATTGTTATACTTATGAAAATATCTGGCGGAGAATTGCTTGTGAGGTGTTTTCAGAATCAGGTATAGGACGTGAAATCGAAACGAACCATTTTTTACAAAAAACAAGAATAGCTCTAAATTTTAATTAGAAACCCACCTTCTGCGGCCTAATTAAAATTTTCCTTGTGAAATTTTAGTGGTATGCACTACATTTTTCTAATCCAAAGCCTAAATATAACGCGGCTTTCTTAGCTTTATTTTATGTGCAACTTTTTTATTTAGAAAACAAAATACTGTACGTTTGTTTTGACTATCAGCTATCACATTACACCAGATCCTAAGTTTTGATTGGTCAAAATTACAGGGGAATGCTATCTAAAATCCTTAATCGCGGACGGTCTATTGAGGTTTATGATACAAAGATTGCCAACTTATGCATGTATCAAATTGTAAATTATGCACAATTATTACTTAAATTATGCACTATATTAGAAATTAGATTTTGCAAAAACACTCTTGATTTTTCTTAAAGCTGTTATCTTGATATCTACTAGATTCTAGTTTATTTACTTCAATTTAAATACTATACTTGTTATAGTAAATTTTATATTTGTTAGAATAAGATTTTTAGAAAGATCTATAACTATTTGTTATTGTTAATTATGTATATTATTTGTTGACTTGTTGTTTCTGTTATATTTAAAAATAGTAATGTGATCAGCTGTTTAGAGGGCATCCATAAATAATGTTATACAAGAGGGGGGAGGGGTTTCACAAAAATAACGTTTTTTTATGTTTTTTTGCTAAGAGGAAGGATCGAAGAAAAATAATCTAATTTTTTATAAAAATATTAATATCTCGTGACCCAGTAGTCAAAATTGGATAAATTTGGTACCATTGGATTCGTCTCAGTGAGAGGAATCCAATGGTACCAAGATTATTCAATCTGGATCACTGGATCAAAAGATATTGGCAAAAAACTATTGGTTATACTGTATTATTTTATATAAAATTATTATATAATTAACAGTTTTTTGCCTATATATTTTGTTCCAGTGATCCAAATTGAATAATTTTGGTACCATTGGATTCCTCACATTGAGACGAATCTAATGGTACTAAATTTATCTAATTTGGATTACTGGGTTACAAGATAATCAGAGTTTTGTAAAATTTATATATAAATATATAGATTTTTAAATTTTTTTTATATAGTCTAGGGGGTCAAGAGTTTCTATGTGGGGTACATAACATTATTTATGAATGCCCCCTTATTTGTTTGTTTATCTGATCTTATATATTTGTTGTTTTGTTGCTATTGTTTATGTATTCTTAAAATTAAATTTTCAGGTTTTAGATAAATTTTTACAATTTTTAATAATTTTTTAAAATTTTATTTTGTTATTAGCTTTTAGATTTTTAGTAAAAGACTATTCTAGTAAACTATAGATTATTTCAAGTATTTATTTTTTTGATTTTTATTTTTTTTTGTGTTAAGGTAGTATCACATTTTAGAATGGAAACTTATCTTGTATTTGTACTATTTTTTATATCTTTTTATGTAATATAACATTACATGAATACTCCAGACCTTTTACTTATTTCTCTAAGTATACTAATCTCATATCTTAGGCCAAATCCTGCTACTACCATTGATTTGCTGTTTTCAGGTCTTAATATTTCTTAAGTTATTTGATATAATGCATTTCTTACTATTTTTTTAAGTACTTCTTTATATAGTTTCATCAGAATTTTAGTTTGTGAGGATCTCTTAAGTTGTATAGCAACTACAAAGCTACATACTTTCAGCTATTGGTTTTTATAATTTTGTTTTAATGACCTATCTTGTTAAAGACTAGCCTAACATCATAAAATTATTTAAGTAGCAAGCTAAATTACTTTTAGCTATTAGTATATTTTAATTCTTTTTTGTCATAGACTTTCATATAGGTATAATCAGAGTTCTGAATTAGTATCTTTAGACATATAGAAATAGGTTATATTCTCTATACCAAGTAGCTTTTTATAGTTATTCTACCAATACCAAAGGTGTTTCTAATTCTAGTTAAAGCATAATCCTTTACCACAGCCCATAGTTGTATATCATTATTTCTCTCACTACTCCAATTTAGTAGTATTGTATTATTTTTTTAAGCAAATGCCTAATACTATTCTATATTAGGACTTATATACACAATTTATTGATTATTTTTTTAAGCAAATACCTATAAGTTGAGTATAGGGATATTAGTATTATCAAATATAGAGATGATAAGATGTTGATATTGTCTCTGAGTTATTCTAACCAAAAGATTTATATATATAATCTTCTACTATCTAGACTTTCTATTATACTGCTATCTCATATAGTATCTATACTTTACAATCTGGTTCTTTCTGAGAACTTCTTATTCTAGTTTTGTACTATACTTGAACTTTTTACAAGGTTTTACATCTAATTATAGTCTCTATAGATTATAGAAACAAATTTTATTAAAATTTGCCTCTAGTCTGATTCAAACTATTGACCTAGTTTGTAGAAGTTTGGAAGCTTAACCAATAAGCTATAGGATCCAAATCCTTTATTCTTTTTTTTTAGTATAGATACTTTATTTTTTATATTAGTTTTTGTAGAAATTATTGTTTTTTGTTTTAGTTAATTAGAAATTGCAAATCTATTACAAAGTTGTAATATTTATTTAAATTTTTTAAAAATATATATAATTTTTTTTATTTAGACAATTATGCTAGTAATCTTAATTATTTAAATATATATATATTAAATATTAATACAATAAAACTATAGATCAATCTAATATTATATAGCTACTTCTATAAGTACTTATATATAATTTGTTATATAACTAAACTTACTTATAAAAACTAATCTAACTGAAGCCTTATTTAATTATTAAATTAGACACAAATCACTAACTCTTCCTGACAATTACTTGTACCAAATTTTCTCTAAAAATAATCACTATATTCTCTAAATTCTACTAAGTAAACCTACTTTGGCCATCTAAATAAAACTGTTTTATAGTAAATTTTACTTATAGGCAGCCTTGCTTTAAACTTCTAAAGCTCTTTTTTACAAAATTATAATACTTTTTCTAAATTTTACTTCTATTGATCAAAACTCAAAATTCTATTAAGTTAATATTTAATGCTCTATAATACAAAAAGATTTAGCTCATCAACAGCTTTATTTTGATATATAATATACTCAAAATGGACTAAAATTGACAAAGCTACAATCAAAATACTTTCAAACTCTGTTACAAAAATTTTATTTTGTTTTTACAAAAATTTTTTCTTCTTTTGGGGATTCCTACCTCTCTAGGATGTCCAAGATTTGCAAATCTACATTACTAATCAATATTACTAATTAATTTACATAATTCCAATATTTGTTTCATTTATTTTTATACAAAATTTAATTTTACTATTTTAGTTTTAGTAAATTTATACAAACTTTAT